CGCGCAATTTCGAATTCAGATGCCGGCGAGTCCTCCCGCCGCTCTACCCTCCCGGAAACTTTCGCGCGGGCTCTATGAGTCCGATGCCGAGGCTTGAAGGACTCGAACCAACCACCTCTACAGCAAAAGACCCGAGGGTTCGGCCACTTCGTGAGGCCGATGACGAGGCCTGAAGGCTTCGAACCCACCATCTATCCCCGGAACCCATGACGGCCGGAGTTTTTGTCGTCTGCCGCCATGGCCTCCTTCCCTTGATGCCTTTTCCCGCCCCGATGCACGACGGCAATTCATTTTCACTGAAACCCTTCTGATTTTATCATTTCGGAGTAATCCGACCCCCGCGGGACTTCGCGACGGCCAAAAATCCTCGGCCACGCCCCTCCTAGAACTCTGATCGGCGACCCCGTACGGGAAGCTGCGAGGGGGCGTGAGGTTGCGTATCACACGTCGTGCTCTTTTGGTTATTTCGCCCGCCTGTTTGTGCCTTGGGCCTTTTTGCTTTTTTTTGTTTTGTTTTCCCTTCCCACTTGTGGTTTGCCGTTTTTCCACTTGGCTGAGCTGGTGGGACTTGGCTCTTGCTACTGAGGGAGACTATTTCTTCTGTTTTTTTTGTCTTTAGCGCCAATCCTTTCACGTGGTGGTCGCTGCAGGGTACAGACATTTCAACTATCGATGAGCAGTCCAGGGCTCGAAGTCTCGTGACACAAAACTCAAAGAATGCTATTGGCTGATATCTTTCAGAAGAGGGAAACAAAAGAAAAGGGAAATTGCATCTGTACCAAAGATGCAAACTCATATTGACCTTCGCCCCAACAGCGGTAGTCAGAGATGTGGTGGGGCCGCCGGTGGGGTTCCGGCTAATGCAGCGTTTTGCCCACTGGTGGGGGTCCGGCTAACGCAGCGTTTTGCCAGTAGCTGCGCCTCCCTTTTCATCGTCCCCACCCCCCGTCGAGTAGCAGCAGCGGCTATGGCCAACACTCTGCCACACACCACACACAACCCACTCAGGCTCACACTCACACCCATGTTGGTCATAGACCCTACTAATACCAATCAGGGGTATCAAGCAGACCATCACAGTCGGTTGGCACTAAGTGCTCCGCAGGTGTCATGGGGCTTGAACCCACACCCTCCTGAATGCCACTTGTGTGCCTAACCAACTGAGCTACAGGGGGCAAAATGAATACCTCTAAGTTTGTGAGGCCTTACGCTCACAGGGCCCCCCTCTATATAGCCTTTTTTTTTAAAACAATTTAGAGGTAACTAGGCGCAGTCACGAAAGCAGTTTGTAATTGCATTTCAAACTGCTTTTTAGCAGTTTAGTCAGGGCCCGAGTTTCCAGCACCACTAACACTGAGGAGATGAGGGTTTGGCCCAAAAAAAAAAAAAAAAAAAAAGACAAACAAACAAACAAACAAACAAAACAAATGCAGTTGAAACTTGGGCTGGCCTTTTTAGCAGTTCAGTTAGGCATGTGGCCCCTTTTTTTTTTTTTTTTTTTTAATTTATTGCWTTTTTTTTTTCGWTTTTTTTTTGGGCTAATTTGCAAAATAACCCCATAAGTTGAGATATAGGCCAAAATGCCCCTGAAAGATGTGGGTAGACCGGAATGCCCTTTTGGGCCGAAATCTTTGTGTTGTGCCCCTGTCAGGCGGGTGTGCATCTTTGCAATCTGGACCTCGCAGTTTGGCCCTTGGCCATTTGCGAAAGCGCCTAGGAACAGTTGGCAAGTACTGGGGCATTTTGCAAAGTTGGAAGGTATCCGGTAGGGGTATATTGCAAAGATGGGGGTCCACAGACGCTAGGGACATTTCACAAAATACTTTTTTGTCAGAGGGGTATTCCGCTCTACCCACATCTTTTAGGGGCATTTTGACATATATCTCAACTTATGGGAGTATTTTGCAAATTATTCCTTCTTTTTTTTTTTTTTTTTTTTTCCGCCTCCCCCGTGAAGCCCCCTTCAGGTGTGCCCGAGACATCTCGGCCATGGCCCCGACACACAACCAGATGCTTTTTTTGTTTTTTCCCCTTGGGTGTGGCCGAGACATCTCGGCCGTGGCCTCGCCACGTGACGTGGAGGGGGTGGGGAAAAAAAAAAAAAAACTTCGGGCGTGGCCGACACATCTCGGCCGTGGCCCCGCCACACAACCAGATGCTGCTTTTTTTTTTCCCTCGCATGTGGCCAAGACATCTCGGCCGTGGCCCCGCCACACGACGGGGAGGGGGGAGGGGGGGGGGAGGAGGAGACGGGAAAAAAAACAAGGGGCCACGTGCCTGACTGAACTGCTCA